TGTAATCAGAGCGTTTCATTTTTTTTTCCAAAAATCGAAAAAATGATCTAATAAACAAGTAGTTATTTGATTTTTATTTAAAGTATTTTTGTCTACAAATCATTTAACTCAAACTACTAAGTACAATGCCTTTCGGCGATTCTAAGTACTCTGATATCCTCCCTCATATGTCCGTTTCTTTATTTTGTTTTTTTCTTTTTTTATCATAATAAATAGTTTAAACCAAACAAGTAGTGTAGTACTTTACTAATCGCCTATAAATATAAAATTTGAAATATAGAAAATAGTGCGCGCAAAATATAATAGTGCGCCAATCACAAGTGATTATTATTTCTTGATAGATAGAACAGATCCTTGTACGTACTGCATGTACTCAATATTCTTAAAATTGAATTGAAAAAAATATATATTTTATTATGTTGTTGTCTGTCAGTTATATATTATTATCTGCTATCAAAAACGACGTCAGACAAGAAAACAGAGTCATTTTGCACACCAGCTGAGTAAAGTGAAAGAGAGAGAGAGAGAGAAAGAGAGAAAGAAAGAGAAAATAAAAGAAGAGAATAAAGAACGCAACACAAAATGGCCAACATTTTTATAGGAAAATATTCTTTCTACATATGATGGAAAAAAAGTGGGATGAAAAAAGAAAAGTACAGATAAATACACAAAACATTTAATCTGTAAAAAAAGTTGGATATGTACATATATGTGAATGTATACGCATAAAACCGAAAAATCTTGGAAAGAATGAAGACTACTGTTGTTAGAATCAAAAATATATTCTTATTAGTGCCATTGAAAACCAATTCGACTTGTCTTCCTCTATTAGACAATAAAATTGGTAAAATTAAAAGGATGAACAAATGTTTAGAAAAAATTATTTAGTACAAAGAATGGCAACAAACGATGATTATGAAGATTTAATATCGTCAACAAACAAACTGCCATATTTTTGCAGAAATTTTTATCAATCAAGAAGTATGTTTAGTTTTGACGATGAGAAAGAGTAGAAATTAGTTTATTTTCAGACATGGGAAGCTATGATTAAGCAACATATAGTTAGGCTTTTTTCTATTTATTCTATAATCATATGAAGCAAAGACAAACCGTCGGGTCTTATAATCCAGGACGTTAAACACGATGTGATTAATTGTCTATTAAATACCCATTAATAACCTATTCAATGTTTGTTAAGTGTACATTTTTAGACCATTGTAACAATTTTTTAATCATTATAAATTTAAATTAGGAACGTTTTAATGTTTAGAAGAGCTAGTTTTACTACGATCAAAAAATGGTCATTCTATGATGTTCGTTCTAAAGCCGTTATTGCATCATTATGGGCAATTAACAACCTATTGTTCGAACATTTTCCGAGCTCAGCTTTTTTCTGACTGATAACCTCACAAAGACTGAATTCACAAATTTTGATATTTCGAGTTCCGGTACCATCAGTAGTATCAGATTCAAACTAACGGCTACTTCATTGATATAAGTTCCGATGACTTGTACAATCGAAGAAGAGGAAAATTCTAAGATTTTTCAAAAGAATCGGAGATAAATTTATATTAGTTAAAATAGCGAAACAAACGAGTGAATGATTTGTTGACAAACGAATAACAATTGACATTTAGTTACCAACTTTAAATGCTACGTTGTTTCCTGATTTGTTTGTTAACCGTTCCAAAATGACCCACTAACAGCTAGTAGTTCAATGCCTGCTTTTAGGCCTTGGTTCACGGTGAAATAAAGGACAAAAACCGGTGACTGTTAAGGTTTTTTAACAATTTTTAACTAATTAAGTCAATTTCTTCGTCTATACAATTAACAGATTAATCAAAAGTTATTAAATGTCAGTTTTCGTTGACCTGCTAGAGAACGATATCTCAAAGCGCAAATCTTCAATTAGCATGTTTTCGTTATAAGACAGAATACGTTCATGTTTATAAAGATAAAATATAAAGAATAACGTTTTGTAACACTCTCTTTCTATTTTCCGAAAGAATAAATGTTAGTAAATACGTGTTTACCAATTTATTTACTCACCTGATTCTGAAATGTCATGTAATGTTGTTCTCCATTCATTTAATGATAAGAAGAAAGACTTCGTCATATGTGTTTTAGAAATCGTGTCATGAATACATAAATCAAAAAATTATATATTACTGACTATTATAGATGATTATTTAGCCATACATATGCAAAAAGATAGAAAAGATATATTTTCTCGTGCCTTTTTGAGATGGATGGAGCGTACGTGCACTGTACATATTCATTTGTAATTAAATATACATGTAAACAGTCTCTATATGTGTGCGAAACAATATGAGTATCAGCTGTTTACAACAAGACAAAGAAAAGAAAGAGAAAAAAAAACCGAACACCTCACTTTTATCAAACATCCATCCATATTATTAAGTATCTGTGCTCTGCGTGTACTTGCGTGATCGATCGATTGAGGCAGAACACCTCGATGATTGTTATTATTCATAGTAGTATCATCTAGTTTTCTTTCGTCTTGGCCTTTTCGTTTTCTGTTTTGTGTTTACCTACTCTGGTATATAAATTAGGAACGTATTTCTTTGTTGATGTCTATCCCGACAAATGATTTTTAACATTCTCTGGTTGTCTACAATAGTTCACAACGACGAAATTTTTTAATGGTAAATAATTATCATAGAGGAGTTGACAATTAGTTTAAAAAGGTACGTGTACAAATATTTTGCCTTTATAAGCATAACATAAACATATTTTTATTTATCTTCTTTTTGTAATATTTTCTCCTGTATAAAAACAACAACAACATGTGGTTATAAGTTTGCGGTTTGTATATTTCATAATATTTTTTGTTGGTATAAAAATGACAAGATAGTTTTTAACCAACATTAATATATGCTTGAAAAGATAACACAGTTTTGTGTTGTTTTTCTTTTTTATTCATGAAATATTAACTATGTTCTTTTATGCCAATAGAGTTCTATGTGAGATGTGTATATGCGTCAACCTTGAATTTCTATGTACTTGTTGCCAGGCACATCAAGGTTTTATTTGTAATTATATGCATTTTCTCTCTCGATATATTGAGCAACAAGGCTATATATAAGTAGAAAAAAAAATGAAGGTTCTTCACAACAATATAAAGAAAATGGAAGATGAAGAAGAAAAAAACCGCAATTTGAAGAGTTTTATATCTGTTGTTGTTTTGATACAAGGACAAATTTTTTTTCTTTTTTAAATGTGACGAGAAAAAGAAGAAAAAAAATTCCTTTAGTTCTACTATTTATTTTCACCTTTTTTTTTTCTCCTTTGTTTCTATGCTCATTCTTAACAGACAGAGCATAACATCCAGGCTTAATAACATAAAGTTCAATGTGTTTCTTTACTTATTACTTCATTCGTTTCATCACCATTTGGGACGAGGAAGAAATAAATATCGCGAAGACGAACATTTTTGTCCTTATCAAGGTTTTCTTGTAATTTTAACATGCTACAGAATGACATATGTGTAACATTCCTTGTTGCTATTAATTACATCTTTAAATCCCCTCCATGAACATAATACGTCTTTTTAAAAAAATGGTATGTGACTTAGACTGTATTGAACATACCAATACAAATGAAACCTTCGTCTAAGATTTTTTTCCTCCTTTTTTTCTTTTCGCTACGCGAGAAAATAAGTCATTCGCCAATCAACTTCTGACAAGAATATCAACAAACGCCTTTCTCATCAGAGATATGGTTGCTCTAACTTTCGTGAAATGCTCTCTATTGGATTCACTAAACATATGATTACTCTGTGGCTTTTTCGAGCTTTTTTTTTCTTTTTTTCTCCTTTCTTTCATTTGTATTATAAAACTAAAAAGTGTATTAGAGATACAGTCTACACTGTCATAGCTATATAGTCAATAAAATACTTTTTTTCTCTCCATTTGTCTCTTGAAGAACCTATAACCGTTTCTTATTCGTTCTTTTATTTTGTACTCAATGCTCTTTGCTATTTTCTCACATATGGCATCAGCCAGTCTCGATATGCGTGCCTATGCACGTAGATATTCATTACGTAGCCATTCCTCGTTCTTCATCTTATTCAAAACTTGCGGTTGATAGAGAGAGAGAAAAAAAGAGATGACAACAATCAGCCCATGAGAGAAAAGTTCGACACTTATTAGCTATAGCTAAAATCTATAATCATACTGTAAATATGGTAAGTAGAGATGAGCGCGACTAGTCTACTCATTTTTCATCGTTTTTCACCACTAACTTAGCATTTATCTTATTGATCAACTTCTTAACAAAGTCGGTAAAACATGATTGGACTATTCACGCACTTCTCTGAGCTAAGAGTTTTTGATCACGAAAGATCACAACAAAAACGTTGTAAAATCAAAAAATTCCCGCGACACTAAACTCTATTCTGTAGCGTTTAATAAATAGTTTCTACCCTATTATTATTAGTCATTTGGTCGTTGTTGACTATCATGAGATCTAATTCTTATTTATCTCGACTGACAGAACAAAAGAAAGAAAGAAAGAAAGAAAAAATTTTCTTAAATCTATGCTTTCTCTAACGTTAGAATCTATCAACTAGATATATTCAACACATGCGGTCGCAGTTGCATTTTATAGAATATAAAAGAATGAAAGAAATTATGGGAAGAAGTATAAACACATGTGTTGAACGATTTTTACGTTTTTCACTTCTATGTCAATAGTCGACCGAATTAAATAAGCGAGTTCTACTCCATCTCCCAATGGTATTTCTATTAAATATGTTTGCGTTTATGGTCATCTATTTAATTAGCGTAATCAAATAAACATTAACCTCATTTTTTTTTCTATTATTCTCTTCCACACCCTCTACATTTCACACCTATACAATGTTCTCTATTGGACCTTTTATACTTGATCCATTAGTGTGAACGATAGTGTTCATTCTTAATATCTTTTTCATACTCATTTTCATTCTAAGCAATTTTAGCTAAAAGAAGACAATCCTAATGTTTGTTCCACTGCTCTACTCGCCCATCGTACAAGATGCTGGTAGATTAGAACTACGAATTAGTATTTGTGTGCGAATTTGAAAACAATTTTTATTTTGTGATCCTTAAAGTCAAAAAGTGTATGCTTATGTATATCTTAGTGAATGTTATAGAATATATGTAGTTGTTCGTGACTATGTTCAAGTTTCATTCGGGTTGTGTCGATATATGTACAAAAAGGTAAAGAAGACAAGAGGTCGAAAAAGAGCCGCGTTCTGAGTAAAACGGTCGTTTTGCAAGCATAAAGGGGACGAAAGAAGAAGAAAAAAAACGGCAAACAGTACTGTGTCTAAATGTATATGAACGAAAAAGACGCATATATATATATGAAAGAAGTTTGTATTTTATACTTACACATTATATATGTGGTCAAAGAAAAAGAAAATGTTCAAAAAAATAGCACAATTGATTTATGAAAAAAATTGACTGAACGGACGTTTGTTTTGTCATTTGTAACTGGAGAAGAAGAAAAAAAAAGATGTTGAGGTATGTTATGCGGATTACACGAAACGATCGATTATTTTTAGCATTTTTAAAACAATGATAATTTATTACTTACACGTACATCGGCATTGTTCGTGACTTATCTTATATAAAAATAGTCTATTTTTGGCGATATTGATCCGTTAAGGACAGTTTTTTTTCATATGTTTTAGTAAAACGTTTCGACTAGTATTTTGATAGCGTAATCGATTCGTTAATACGAATTCCTAGAATAAGATCACTGCTATAGTACTTGTTTCGTTTCTGATTTGAGTAGGCGGGTTGAAACTAGATTGTAGTTCATTTTATCTAGGAAAAACCTTTTATCTAGTTCTTTTTGAAATACACGTACAAGAATGAGTAGAACGTTAAGATATCACTTAGTTTCTTTTTTTTCTCTAGTCTTTTCCTAGGACAGTAGTCGGCAAAATTGACAAGCTTAGATCATAAATACGGCTAAAAGTTCCAGTGTTCGACAATCACCAACTGCACCCTCAAACCATATTAAGAAATTTTCAATATTTTAAAGGATGAATTATTGATTTGTACCTTCGGTGATTATCAAAAATTTTCCTTAGATATTTTGCAATCGCACAGTTCCTAATGTATCGTACATTCGTACGAATCCTAATGCATGAGTTTGTAAAGCTAAACTACGAGTTTGAATATAAAATGAAAATACGTTCACCTTCATATCACATATTCGATATACTCACTTATGTATTTAACAGAGTGTAATGATGGTGATATTGATAGTAAAAATATGTTACTTTTTCTATTAAAAAATTGACGATAAGAATCAAAGGTTGGGCTAGATCAAATTCTATGTACTAGGTCAAAGATGACATGATTATGAACATAACATGTACGAGAAATAGGGCGCTGTACAAATGATTCTTTAACATAACAGAATATATTAAATGAAGATGGAAAGAATGTGAAAGGTAACTCAGTTTGCCGTACATACTTCCACTGAAAATAAAATTGGCAATCAAAACGTTCAAATATTAATTTAAACGTAGTCTAAGATGAAATATTTGTATTTATTTCATTTAGAAGATACTTGATATGTGCATTTGGTTTTTAAAAACATAAAGACGCAAGTTCAGATAAACAATTGCAAACTTTATCGTTATTTTTTCCGTCCGATTGGATGTAGAATCGTTGCTCGCATTAAGTTTAGCCTCTAATTTGACGAGTGGATATTTAGGACTTCATAATGTTAAGCATTCTAATTACCAGGAGAATAGTAGTTATTTCGTTAGTTGAACTTTGGGACAACATTTATGTTTATTGTATTTTTCGTTTTTTTGTAGAGGGCCATCATCAAAAAAATCTTCACGAAACGTTAACATCAAGAAAAGCCGACAGACTGGCCCTTACCAAACGAGATAAAATTACAAATCCTCCATTCATTGATTTATCCTTGGCAGTTTCATCATCACAAGATCAACAGCAAGAAGAACTGATATTATCTGAAGCTGTCTCATCAGTATTCGATCATACATTGACACCATCAGTATCGGAGAAACAACATGTAGCCGTCTTCTCGCTGAGTAGTAGTTCATCATCATCATCATCATCTAGTTTATCTTCATTATCATCGTTGTCTGCCATGGCTAGTACAACGAGAATTTCTGAACACAATTTAGAAAATGGTATTGTACCAAATCGACCAACCTCGGCCAATTTTATGAAACGTTTTAATTATCGTTATGGCGTATCGGATGATAAATTACCGACAAACACAAATTCGTCTCTACCATCAGTACCTTTTACGTCTTCTTCAAATACGTCATCATCTTCTAGTTCATCTTCATCAGATAAACAACAAGAACAATCTCTTTCACAACAACAACAACAACAACAACAACAACGACGAGCACCGAATTGTTATCAACAGTATAAACAAGTTAGTGCACCATATGAATATCAGTTAGCGCCTGTTGTTAAATCACAAACAAATGGTTTGCACACTACATCGACAAATACTAATAGTATTCAGACTAACAATCAACAACAAGCACCAATTAGTCGTTATTATGCCACTCGAACCCAAACTACAGCAGCAAATAATACTGACGCTAAAAATACCGTTACAACAACGAATAGTAATTATAAATCAGCGCCGACAGACTATTCTATTGAACAGAATCTGTTTAATATTGTACGATTTGATGTAGTTAAAAATAATTTCTCAGACTATTATCAATTAGGTGATTTTGTTCGTAGCGGTGGCTTTTCCGAGGTACACGAAGGCATTCGATTATCCGATAATAGAAATGTCGTTATTAAATTCATTCCAAAAGAAAAAACAAAAAATTGGTTAATGATTAGCAGTAAAAGATATCCAGCTGAAATATTACTTCATAAATGTGTTCACGAAATACAAGGTAAAATAGATTTACTAAATGACTTTTTTCATACGTAAGTTTCGAGTATATCAACATCAATCAAATCAGTCTAAAACAGATTCTATACTCGATTCTATGATCTTTATTATTTGTACGATAACTTGTTACATAGTGTTACATTGATACGTGCTCTTATTATCTTTCTAGTTGAATAGAATAGTCATTAAATTTTTAAACTGCTTGTTTTTTTGCTATATGAACGTATTACAAATTTTCATTTGTTTATTGCATAACATGGCAATTATTATGTAGATGCACCATTAGTTCTTTTCCTTTCTGTTCATTTAGTAACATTTGAGCTACTGATGATCATCATATGTAGAAATTTCAATTTTTTTTAAAAGAAAAGAACAATTTTTTTTTTGACAACTAGAATAGTTCATATGAGTCATTTTTTATTTCCAGTTCTATTTTTATATTAAGTAGATATTAATAGCTTTTTTATTCCTTTATACACTATTCTACCTTGGTTCTAGAATGAGCACATGATTGATGACAAAAGAACAGAATAATTTTGATTATATAATGTAGGCCTTTTTCCTTAAAATATTCCATCGATGAAAACGATTATGTTATGTAAGAAGAGATTAAAAGTGATAAAAAATGTTGTTATCTTTATAGTTTTTATAAATAGTAGACAACGAAAGATATGATTAGTTGGAGTTTAAAGAACAGAAAAGAATTTGGATAGCAGATGGAAACTTTCATTCAACAACAACAACAACAACAACAATAACCTTTGCATACTATTACGAGAATAATAACATAAGTAGTTTAGTAGAATAGAAATGACCTTTGACATTATATAAAAGCGTACATTTTTTTCATACTTCTAAGACATCTTTGAAATAAGAATAGTAAGTTTTTCCTATCTGTGGTTGTGGAGCGATGGTTAGAAAATTTTAATTTTGACAACGAGTAATCAAAATAAACATTTTCCGTAGATCATTTAAAAAAAAACGAATTGCATGAAAAAAATTGCTATAATTCCCTATTGTAACTGGAAAGGTTGATCTAACAGACATTTTCAAAAACGAACATTTACTACTTTTTAGGCGTAATACACATTCATGATTATTTTGAATCATCCGAGTTCTGGATACTCGTTATGGATCGTTTGCGTCATTGTCAAGATTTATTTGATTTTTTGGAAGCAAGACATCGTGGACGTTTAAGCGAAGCGGATGCACGTAAATTTTTTACACAATTAGTTCATATTAATTTAGCCATGTTACATAAAGGCGTTGTACATCGAGATTTAAAAAGTGAAAATATTCTAGTTGACTTGGATACTAATTCTCTGGTATTAATCGATTTTGGTGCTAGTGCAATTTATAAGGGATCATCATTTTATTCCGATTTTCATGGGACAAGACAGTATAAAACGCCAGAATATATAATAAAAAAACGTTATTCGGCTGTAGCATCAACTGTTTGGACATTAGGAATATTATTATATGATATGGTAAGTTTTAATATTAATTCATATTTCTGTAATTTTTCTTAAATTTATTCATTTCTAATGTTTTTTTTTTTTTTGGAACATTGTTCAAAGACATATTTGATGGATAATTATTTTTTCATTTACAGGTAACAGGACGTTTACCATTTGAAAATGAAGACGAGATAACACGTTATAAATTAGTTCTAAAACCATTTTTATCACCAGATTTAAAAAATATAATAGCACAATGTTTACAGATGAATCCTGATCGTCGTCCATCATTAGAATCTCTCTTAGAACATGCATGGATAAAAAATGGATCAGCAACATCGACTTGACGATAGTTTTCATTTACTAACAACATTAACAAAAAACTGGTATGTTCTAGTTATTAATTTTGAAATAAAAGCTACTATTTTCTTTTTCTATTTTAGCATTATGGGTTACTTATCTTACTGTTTGAACAAGAGGATTGTGAATGTGTACGTATGATTGTCATTGGCGGAAATGTGAAGACAAATAAAGTCCGGCCAAATTTTTCTAATTATTTTGTTTTTCCACTCTTACGTGCTGATTTCTTTCCTCATAATATTTTAAGTAGTTTGTGTGCTCTTTAAACAGTGAGTCTTTCCGTATTACCCATATTTTTAAGGAAACAATGTATTGTTCCTTTTTATTAGATCAAATGATTAATAAAAAAACAAAAAACACTCAGAGATGATTGTTGTTCGAAATTCTAATTTTTAAACATAATCAGGTATTGCAATATATTAATTTTTTGTTTGGTTTTTCGTTGTAACAAAAAAAAAACAAAAACAAATGATGAATGGTTATCTCAGGTTAACCTAAACGTTGCTTCCGTTTGTGATGTTTTATGCTTCTGTATTTATGCGCATCATATATGAAAACATGATAGGTAAACCTTGGCATCCCTAAAGACATTTTTTTTAAATTATTGCGACTTTTTCGAATCATTAAGATTTTTTCCTTTTTTTTGAATATTTTTTACTTTAATGTTGTTCTTTTCTTCTTCTCAGCAATAGTCCACACTGAGTAACGAGATTATGCTTGTTGTTGTTGAGATAAATAGGTTTAGAATAGAAATATATTGAATAAAAAACAAAAGTGTCGCTCTCAAACACATTTTTTGTAGTTACTTTCTCTACATGTTTGCTTGGTTTTTTTATATTTTTATTTTCTGTGTTTTAATCACTAGGGAAGAAAATTTTGTTTTTGCTTTTTTTTCTTCAAAATTATGTCTGATAATAATGTATTCATTCACCATCTTTTATATCACCCAAGCAAAAATCGCTTATAGGATAAATCTAGATACATTTTGTCTATAATCGGACGATACACAACTAGTTAGTAATCATCTAGATTACTACTTGAAAAAGAGACATTTAACTAGATGTGTGTGCATGTGCAACTAACAATATTTAAATCGATCGATTATTAGAGGATAAATCGATAATTTCAATTGAGGAGAAATCTAGCAATCGCTCGATTACTAAATTTCCACTGTCGTTACCGAACAATTGTCATCGAGTAAATATTTAGTAATCTAGATGAATCGGGCGATACTAGATTTTTTTTTGTTGCTTGAAACACACACATGCAAGAACATAAAGAAAAGCGTCTGTATTTTCCATCTTTTAGTGTTTTGTTTTTGTTTTGCACATGATCACATTAATCTCATCGTAAAAAGAACAACTCTAATTATGTATATGGATGTACACGCGTGAGCAAATTTATATTTCAACTTTTTTTTCTTTTGTTCAACCTTTTCTCAATAAACTAAGACTTAGTTGATAATGATAGTGTATAGTAACCCTAGTGGGAAATTGAACAGGACAAAAGTACATTTAAAACTGAACTAGTTTTATTCCAATGCAACAAATAAATAGAACAAAAGTTTTATGTCTTCATTACTAGAGATCGTCATTTATTACCATCATATCAGAAAGACGCAACTATCGTCTCGAAACATCTCATTTTTATTTCGATAGGCTCTTGTGAGAGAAGAAGTTTGAAGACCACTGCTTCCACCGAAATCTATCATTGATGCATGTTTATGCAAATACATGAAAGCAAGACACTTTAAAAGAGATTTGTAAGACGTTGAAAACAACCATGATGATGAAACACAAGATAAGTATTCCGATATAATAAAGTAAGCACATGACGTACCAAGAAACCTCATGGTTGACTCATGGATCAAATTTGGCTAATTTCTTTGACGTTTTTATCCACGGGTCATGATTGTAGGGCATGAATGCTGATTCGGCATAACCTTTTATCCTGAAGAGTTGATCAAATTATAACGTGACACTTACTGAACATAAACGGTGGTAAATGAGCGCCATTTTCTCTTGGAATTTATCACTAGTGGAAATGGCTACTTTTTAAAAGTGCTAGATAATCTAGGATGGTCACGAAATTGATCTTTTCATAGAATTTTTTATTAACACGATTACTAAAGATGAAAGCTATCGTGAAATTTCACGGACACTTTACCTTGCTGATGAATTGGTGGATGGATCAACTAAGTGATAATAGAAAGAAAATTAGCGAATTTTATGTTTCAATTAACTTAAATTCTACCAACAAATGATCAAAATTCTTTGCTTTAATATTTTCTACCTTTTCATCCTAATCCACATTCTGGGAACTGATCCACGCATCGACCTAAATGAAACAAGGTATAAGGCTTGTATGTGAACCGGGTTGGGAAAAATGATCCCAAATGATTTCTTATTGCTAGATAAATTATGCGAGAAGTGAGAAACAACAAAACAGCAACGCGATGATAAAGTGATATTTGATACGATAATATTGGACTGACTTATTGTACAATACTCAAATGTCGATTGACAACGCAAAATGTGTAACGAGTGCAGCTCTCTTTGAATTTAAGTTTCCCTAAATGCATAAACCTGTGTTTAATATGAACGTTGTCTCAACTTAGCACACGATATTAATTTTCATCATAACTTACATATCAACAATTCACTGAGTGCCTCTTGCATACATTATATCAAATACAATGTATCTACGATTGTTTGATTAAATTAATATACACAATATTCAGAAGTTTGCTGAGACATTTTGTTAAATGGCTTCCAGTTGGTGGTCAGTAATATCTATATTTTTGTATTAGTTGTATTTTGATACAATCCATTGACATTCATCAAACATTAGTTCATAATTTATTTGGTAAAAAACTGAATATGCATACACAATACTATCGTATAGACAGTAGTGACATTTGGTATTATACTCTCACCAACGCTAATCAAACGAAATCTTATTTTGTTAAAATATACGATATTTTTAAAACACAAAAACCGGCTAGATATATTAATTTCAGTTTTGATCATCTATCACAATCAAAATTGTACAAAAACTCCATTAATTGAGGTCTCAGTTGGAAAAATATTTATTTTCATGTTTATAATTTACCACCTAATGGACAAACAGTCTTATATGACACATGTGAACCAAACTCTTCAATTATATACTAGTAGATGAAAAACGAAAATTTCGAGCACCACGCTAACAAGTCAGATTTTAACATAAGACTGTCAATACAGCTGTATAAAGTCTTATTACTTTATCTAAAAATAGAGTGATATTTCGACTTTTATAATCATTTTCAAACAATACATAAAATAAGTACAAAGAAATGACACAAAAAACACATTAACAGCAAATGACGATTTTCTTTCCTTAGCCAGAACATGACGAATTTTACAATTTTCTTTTCTTTCTGTTTTTAAAAATATGCGCATATAATATGCGAAAACCCGTGACATCATAAACGTGAATGGAAAAACGAAGATCACTGACTAATATTTGGTGGAATTAGTCTCTTATCACCTAGGCTGTTATGTTTACTTCTGTTTTCTAAACTATCAGGGAAGACATAGAGCGGTACTGAGCGATGTCTGGAATTTCAATATTCGAATTGGAGCTAGACTAAGAATTGTTTTTTTTACCAAAAGTTTATATCTGTGCTGTTCTAACGCAAAAATATGAAAGTCATTTGATGACATTACGTGGCCAGTAGATCAATGAGCTTTGTTTGAGTAGCTAAGATTTCATCTTAGAAAATCATTATCCAAATTTTTAACTGCTGTAGGAAGTTTACCAATTTGTAATCTAGTCACACCGTGTTATAGTTTTTTTTAAATATACGCATATTTTTAAAAACAGAAAGAAAAGAAAATTGTAAAATTCGTCATGTTCTAGTTAAGGAAAGAAAATCGTCATTTGCAGAATTTATACAGCTGCATTGACAGTTTTACGTCTGTGTAAAAAACCGTTGCCCAACAGAAAAAACAAATTTCGATGATGTTAAAATAGTATATGTAATTGATGAAACCCTTAAGCGATCACGGTTCAAATCATTTTATTCAATTAATTGAAAATCATACATTAATGCAGGATTTCTAAATCAAAACTTACAAATATTTTAAATTTAAGAATACTCCTCTCTTTTTGGGATTTCTGTAGAAATGCTATGAAATAACAAAAACTAAAATCACTAAGGCTTCGTATTTTCAGAACTGGTTGGAAACTCAACGGAGCATTTTTTCGTTTTGTTTCAAGTTTTTCACTATTACTGTTCACGAGTTTTACAGAAAACTGAATTTTTCATTGTGTCACATCACCACCCCCCTTAAATTTCATCCGAAAGGGTTAAAAATTTTACCAGAGGTGTTCAAGCTAATATCGCTGAGGGCTATTTTTAGACCTTTCCTTCTCGAGTTACAGGAAAAATACCGAAAAACGTCTCAAAAATCAAGTTTTCTAATGTTAGAAACCTTATCTTGGGTACCTTTGGTAAAATTTTTAACTCGATCAGATTAAATTTAAGAGGAGTCGTATAGTAACACAGTGGAGCCCGATAGCAAAAATTTAGTTTTCGAGACAAACGCATTTTGTACACAGGTCACTTTTTTCACGGTATTTGCTGTGATGTTTATATCTCCATGAAAACTCATTGAAAAATTCTGAAAAATGTCTCATTGTGAAGCAAACACTTTCTTCTACCAGACTGTGTGTAAGAAAAACTTTTTCATATACAGAAAAGGAGAGAAAAGTTTATAAAACTAAAAAATTGATTTTTTTAGGCTTTGAAAGAAAAACTTTAGAAATGCATAGCTTTTTGAAGAAAGGTCGTGAAGTGCTGGGAGTGGTTTCATTTTGTAGCTCACACTTTCCTCTACATTAGATTATGCTCAGATCAAAAATTCGAAATTTTTTCGAAAAAGAGGATATTAAAGAGGACCTTAAATAAAAAACAACAAGATTCAGTTATCTGTCAATTGATAGCATTTCTTTGCCATTTAATCAAAAGCAAATGTAATTATAAAAGTAATTGATGTGTTCTTTGATCGTTTTTACTATAATAATGAACAGAAAAAATTGATAGTAGGTGAATTGACGAGCATATTTTCAACAGAATCGAGTCGGTGAATGTATGAACCAATGAGATACCTGGATGCTATAGCTCAACAGTATGCGATATGTGCTGATATAGGAAGATGACGGCAGTTTAATTTTACAATATTTCCACAGAAAACGACAACTAGTTATGGTTTAGCTGCAACTGAAATGGTAGCGTTAAACAACATTCAAGATTTTTAACCGGTACCACAATAATGATATATTTCTTCATCATGAACTTAAACGTTTTGAAACACAAAAAGGTGAAAAAGTTCATATAAAAATTCACAAAAGTTTAATTGAAAAGAATCAAATATTAAAATAAACAAAAATTTTGTATGTATATAATTGTAATTTTTTTACATAACTATTATTCTAAATTTCAAGTATTATTGTAAAACATTTCTATATGGATTCTCGTAGTTAAATGGAGATACTTCTATTTTCATTTGTTCAGTCATCACATCTCAACTTCTCCTTTTCGCATAAAAATAGGCTTTTTTTTATACTTTTAAAGAGAAGTTACACATTTGGTGTGCGTTACTATTGAATTTCTGCAGTGAGTAATGTGATAACAATTCTTAATCGAGAATTGTCGGTAGAAAAAAGAAAAGAAAGGAAACAGAAATAACGGCTTTCATTCACACTAAAAAATTGTAACATACTTTTAGTTTTATTTTAATATACATTTCTTACTCAATAAAAATGGCTTCGGCACCACAACTTGAAATTGAGAAAAAAGAAGGCGTACCGGTTGAAGAAGATGGTACAACAGGAAAAGCTGCTATGGATTCAAAAAGCACTTTAAAAGAACAAGAAGAGGGTGCCAAACTTCATCCTACAACAAACGAAAATGTTACTCCAGGAAGTAATTTATTGGGACATCAAGATTCAGCTCAACCGGGAATCAGACCTGGAGATGTTGCGGGAAAAGCGGGAGGAACGTCATCAAAATAATATTTATAAAGTTTAAAGTTCAAGGTGTATTATGATGAACAAAGACGTTGATTATTTTTTTCTTGTTCATATTCTAGCTGCAGAAGAGTATTATTTTATATATCAGTCCATGTTTTGTTTTTATTACGATTAACTTCACAATAATATTTTGCTTCACTTGTATTACAAAAGTTATGGGTTAAACAGTTTCTCTACTGTTACAACATGATATTTTCGCAAAAATTCATTCAGTTATAGCAATAGCAGAGTATGGACTTTGTACATATAGATCAGAGGAGTGAAAGTTTCGAAACACTCTCTGAAAAACTGGCGTGGAGGGTGGTTTTCATCTATACCCACGTTCTGTAGTGTTCTCTATCATCGTTAAGATAGAGATCTGATTTTTTTTGTTATTGAAATGTTTTGTAGAAACTTTTTATATTTCATTGGAAAGCGAATTTGACACCATAAACAACTTTTTCTAGAATAGAAATAATAAGATTAATTTCATCTTTCTCTAGTTGTCTAGCCAAGTCTAACTAGGCTTCTTCTAGTTAGACGATAGGGTTGCGCAGAATAAAATAAAAGAAGATGCAAAGAGTTTCTCTATTCTTTGTTCCGAGAGCAAGAAGAATCCAATGAAACCTTACGTAGTGGTAGTCTCTGCCTGTTCAAACAATCCAAATATTAACCTCTTACGATAGTTCGTTTTATAAAGATATCCGTTATGCTGAAGTTTTCGAAGTGCATCTTTTACTAAGGCTAAAATGAAAATAACCTCAGAATTTTTTATCTTGAATATGAATCTGGCAAAAAATGGAATCTTTAAATTCAGGTAAAAGAACTTGGATAATTTTTGGTCAAATACAGTTAGTCTTCGCGAGCTTCGACAATTTGGGAGTTTGAAAAATACGAAGAAAAGAATCGTAGTACAGATACAAATATCTACGCTTTATGCAGAAGTAAATCATAGTCTTGTCTTATTACTTGCATGCTAAACACAAATCTCTTTTCCAGTTTACTTGACAAATTTCATTTTTGACTTTGTAGCTCATAAAACTAAGCTTGGTCAGCGCGTAGGATCGCCTATCAGACCAATTTAAAAGTATTCGGTGATATCATAAACGCCTTTACTGAAGCGAAAACGTGCTTGAAGATGTTCATACAAAAATGCCTTCAAACGTGTCCAGATGATTCAATTCTGTGTCCATTCATTTCTTTTGAGTTTTTCAAACGCACTGTTAAACGCGTTTGAAAAATTAATTAAAAGAGCTGGTATATTTCTCAAAAAATCATGCAGGAATAATACATAATTCAGTTGTGAAAGAAAAGATAACTAAGTTATGTAGAAAATAAAATGTTCACAACTATATGATATAATTGTTCAAAAAAATTGTTTTATTTTGAACTAGCAGACGTACCAGAACACGCTTTTTTCTGTTGATCACCTGATGAGCCACATGTGCCATGTGATGAATCGTCTTTGTTTTTGTTATATTCTTGTCCACCTTTTGTTGCTTGTTCACCTTGCGACTTTGGTTTATTTTGTTGATCAACACCAATCTCTTGATTTATTTTTGTATTAACATCTGACATTGTTAATTGTTGTATAAAAGTAAATGTAACTGTGTATTGTACTAGAATATACGATGATACTATTCAGTTAGTATTATATATATAGCATCGCAAAAAAAATGTGTTCTTTTTGCTTTATATTTTAGGTAGCTCTTGACTGTTACAAAGAAAAAAAAATGAGAGCATATTTCATAGCGGTCTATAGCTGAAACAGAAAAACCTCACGTTTTTTTCGCAGACAAGACTTTTTCTTTCTACTGTACGACATTAACTTTTCCCTGTGTACTGTGAGAACTGACAAAATTCAGTTGCATGAAAAAGTGTAACCAATCTCAAATGTGTGGAACTCAGATTATTGGATATGGTCAGAAAATATTAAAAGTCTTATTGGCAACAGTCAGATTTCTCGGACAAACACGAGAAATCGATGATGGCGCTATTTGAGTACCTTAAAATAGTGACATACGGTAATGCCATGAGGGCTCTTCTCATGAAGGCTCCATGTCAGAAATGCCGATTTTCGCCAAAAATATTGACTTTGAAAAAGCACATGGTTGGATAGCCCAAAGTATTTACTTTCTAATGGCATAATTTTTATGTCTATAGGATAGGTTTTTCGTAGATTTTGAGCGAGTTTTCCAGAAGTCCTATGGCAAAAAAGAATGACTTTTTTACGCTTGTATTGCATAGAGTACGCATGTGCCTCGTGACCGCGCACGTGTTCATTAGATCCACCATGAACAATAACCTCTAACGAAATATCAACAAATTGATTATTAACGCTCAAACAGTTTTTAAGTAAAACGCATTTTATTTAACAGAATCAAAACTTATTTTGCGTTTTTCTTAAGACTGTTTTTTAGTTTCAGGGCTTTTGTCACGCACAGAAATTCTTGGTAACAATATATCGGAGAAAGAAAATTTTTTTTTGATTTGTAGATAATACCTATAGCTAGGAGTTGACAGAGTCCGATTTTCAAATTATACTTCGATTTTTTGCAGAAACGAGGATTTCTAAAAACATTCCAAGGATTTTTCGGACTTTAAAGTTTATTGAACACCAGAAATTAGTAAATGAGAAATTCAAAAATCAGGCTCTCCCTAGTCCAACATCTTGAAACCAAGATCTTGCCCAAGATCTTACGTTAAGATTTGGCACTAGATCTTGAAAAAATGAATAAAAGATCTCAGGATATTTTTGTACCCAAGATCTTACGCAAGACCTTGGGTACAGATATTTCTTGATATCTTGTACCCAGGATCTTGAACATTTGAAAAATCGTCATATTTCAAAACTAACTTTTTTTCTTTGCATTTTTTTAACAAGTGTTGGAAACAAAAGAA